CTAACATTCAAACTAAAGACATTCTCCGCCATTGACTTGATGGGGACAGAATTTCATCCTTTGCACCTTGAGTAGGCAGCAGATGCATCAATATACTGTGGAGTTTTTTCCTCCCGGTTAATAGCAGAATTGAAAACTACTAAAGAAGTCACCTAGACCAGACCCTACCAAGATATTCTTCATGGCAACTAAGCAACAGATCAAACAATGTTCATGCATTTTACTTCATACCTGAGCAAGTTAAAGTAACTAGGCCCCAAAGAAAACAAAGTTTTCTGATTCAGTTCAAAGATTCACACAGATTAGAGAATGAATAATGGCAGCTTCCCAAGTTTTTAGGCTATCCTAAAGGTGGAAGAAGTTCACATTTTATAGTCTCATTAAGAGCTGTTTACATCTCAGGCCATAACAATGTCTAGGCATGAAGACAACACTATTTGCCACCGAAACTGAGAAACTGATTTTGACATTTAATGTGTCATATCTATCTATATAAATCTCTAAACAGTAATGAAACATATCCTTTGTAAAATAGGATTAAACAGACATGTAAACTGCCATATGGAACTACGGTCAATTCAATTTAGGAAGGAAATAAAGGTTTCTCTTTTTCATGACTCAATCAAGAACCCTGCCAAGAGGGCTCTTAAAGAGGAGAGGCTCCCTGTCTCACAAGTGATGACAGCAGCCCCTAAATCAAGTGACACACAGCTTCAAACCCTATGGAGTCATCATTCATGCTTGCAAGAGGGGAAGGAGAAGCCTCCTTCCTTTAGATCAATGAGGCAAACACAGAATACTCCTCCTGCTCTCCTAAGGATGATTGATGACTCCTCAGCAGCTGAAGTGTGTGACGTTTGATTTCACTCACTGATAAGATTGTGTCTATCCAAACACCTTCTATTTAATGTTTCCAGGGTCCCTACAAAGCTGTTCTTTGTGATGCTTTACACAAAGCTCAATTGTTCAATGATTAATGAATTTTTCAGCAATAGAAGAAAATTTTGTAAAAGAACTTTGTAACTGTGCCCCTGGATATCCTAATCACAACACAATATAAGCATCAAGATTCTTAAAAAAAAGAAAGTTGAAGATCTTCCTTCTTTTGTCAAATGACAGGGGGAAAAACAGTCAAGGAAAAAATCCAGTTTTATTCTACACAACCTTAAAAATATATACCATAGGTTTGCTTTCCAGAAAACCTAATGGATTACTTGATTAAGAATATTTTCCAAAACTTTAAAAAGCAGATTTGCAGAATTATAGATTTCAACAGACTTGAAACATGTTTCATAGAGTTCTTATTTTTCTTACAACACCAAGTTATTTCATATTTTGAAATGATGCAGTCAGCATGATTTGAAACTATGCTTTATAAGTACAAAGCCCACTTTTGTCTATAGGTTCTAAAACCTACCTTATGTTGTAACTAGTCATAGCAGAAGTCTTGTTAAATAAAATTCTCTAATATCATGTAAATTACACAGCACTACTTACACCTATTACAGAGCTCATGCTCATTTTTTCTGCTATTAGGATTGATACTAACTATTTTAAACAGCTGTATTTTTTTAATGTCCCTTATGATATCACAATCAGGAAATGCAAGAATGTTTTGGGACCCTGACTTGGTAAGTGCCATGTTCAGCTGGATTCTTCCATGGATGCCCTTGGGAGCTTTAGCACTTTGCACAAAATTTGTGAATCTCTGATAAACACAAGAATTGGGCATCTCAGAAGGCTGTCAGAAAATGGTCAAAGGGAGCTAAACTGTACTCCAACAGCTTGTCATTTATATCTGTATGTTCTTTTTTCAGTTTTTTTAAGGTCAAGTGCTTCATATACTTCTAGTGTGAACATTACTTTCTTACTCTGTAAGTTTGGTAGTCAAAAAGCATACTGGTAAATTAGAATACTGCAGTACAGCCAGAAAAAGATACTGAATGTGGCTATCCTAAGCCTTCAGAATGAATGACAGTAACAGAATGGCATTACTGTCAAAGAAAAATGCTCCACATAACCTTTACCATTTTGCCAAAACCAGACCACCAGAAAAAAACAAACAGAAATTCCAAGGTTGGACTTGCCAAACGTATCTTTCATTTAAATTTTGAAACAAAGGCATTGCTTTTGCCAAACATCGCTGAGCTTTTCTGAGGCCTTGCGTGAAAAAACAAGGGCTCTGACTATTTGGGATTCATATTTGATACAAAACTTGGGATGGTTCCCACTTTATGCAAATAAGAGACTGCACGTTACCTTGAAGCTTTTTAAATTAAAAATGATACTGGCAAAGAGCTGTGCCAAATTAACTCAGTGATGATGAAATGATTATAAAAATATGGTGTTACAAACTGTCTTGGCACTTAAAGACATGATGAAGTCTCATGCTAAAACAAAAATAAAGACTGGTTTTGAAGTCAACATTGTATTTTTGAAATATTATACTCTTAAGGAATTTAAAAATAATTAGGTACAAAATCAACAGATTCATGCTGAAAAATATAAAAAGCCGTTTAACATAATGATAGATTTCTAATGCTGACAAACTTTAATTTCATAAACAAAAAAAAACACCTTAGGTATGACCTTTTGGACAATAGTGATTGGTTGATAATATAACCTTATAATATTAACTTGGATTTTTCTTTACTAAGAAAAAATAAATAGCTTTTCTTCCTAAACAGGTATAAAAACCAACTTAGGCTCTCTCTCATTGCTCATTATGAGACACATTAAAATCATGCTCAAAGACGCCCATACTTAAAATTATGCCAGTAAATGTTGTTAAGGACATCAAAGTTGACAGGTGAACAGGAGCTTACAACATGTAAGGTCTCATTTTTCATTTTGATGTGTACTGCCTCAAATACTTGAGCCTATGATATGAATACTCTCCAGCTTGAGGGAGACTTTTCCTCAATTTTCGAGTAATGATAACCTGTACTTTGAGAGAATGTGAAGATTTTTTTTTGAAGGCTATGTTTGTTCCACAAACAGCCACAGTTCTACCGAAAGTAGCTAATTAAAGTGGTAACAGGTAATTCCCAAATTCCATTCAGTATCACATATATAAGGCAACAGGGAAGTTGAATTCTTCAAGGAAAATTACGTTCTGAAACTGTCGGACAGGCTTTACTTAAAAACTGAATTCATACATAGATATGGGTTTGTGTGCATCGCTTTTCCCTTCCTGCTCATTACTCTTCAATAGAGTCAACTCCAATTAGATTTATTAGGATAAATATTTAAACAACATTTCCATAAAAACGGCTGATCATCTGAAAGATGGAGAACTTACTGGTATACGCACTGAAAACACTGAGCACCATGCGCTCAGAAATAGATTAGACTTCAAATAACCTACAGGGAAGAAAACATTTATGAATACCCAAACTGGGAGAAGTCATGATGGGAGGTATGGGAGGCACAGGATGGGTGGGAAGAGAGGCTTAGCGCTTATTGCTAAATATGCATGTGCACGCCTAGACTAATCTGTCGAACGCAAATTCAGAGAACTACAAATAGTTCCCAGAAACAGTTGAAATGAACAAAAAGAGAAGAAACCAGAGAAGAGTCTTGGAAACCTGCCAAATTTCCTCTAAGCAGAAGTCCACCCACTTGGCAAGTTCACAGGGAAACCCAGCTTGCATCATTGTGACTCTCAAACAGTCCTTCCCTAGGAATGCCTTGAAGAGACATGTTTTTTTCCAATCTGTGGCCATAAGATGACCAGACTATTTTGCAGCTGGAACTCCTTCTTTGTCAAAAAAATTCAAGGACTTTTCTCTTACCCAGAAGGCATCTTTAGCTATGAAAATTTTCAAAAAATGGTTCACCCTTCACCATCTGCTACTGTTCAGAAAACCTTCATTTTAGCATTTTCTAAATTCTGAATTCTTAACTTTGAAACCCTGAAAAAGCATTTTGTGTTTTGGAAATTTGCAGTTCTGCAGTCTTGCAGATTTGTTAAATGTTGGTATTCTTCTTAGAATAAATGTCTATTTAAAACAAATCAAAAAGTGCTAAACTAACAGCTTGAAAGCCTTGCACCTACCTGCTGTTTCTGAAAAATATAGGTTGTCATCCTCCATTTGGATCCATTACTAAAGGAAAGACATGCTTTTTTATTGATTTCACTTATATTTACTGAAAGTATACTACTGCTCTCACTGATATTTTCATGTTACTTTTCCTGACCTGTTCTCTCCAACAAGCTTCCTTCTACTCCTGTAACTTTCCCGAGTTCTTAGCTTACCCAGTAAAACCAATCTGAAATCCAAGTTTTTCATTCAATTCATTTTATTATCATCCACACCACTTGTCTATCACATTGGCTACTTCACCACAGGAGCCCAAATCCTGCTGATTTCAGGTCTCCTACATAATAGTCACATTCAAGTCCATGCCTTTCCTTAAACTGATCAGCCATTACCATACCCTCCTTGGCTCTATGAAGCAACTTTTCAGATATCAATAAAACATTTCCATTGACCTTCACAGTTCTCCCTCTACATCTTGGTTCCCATCAGATCTGTCCAATGTCTGTCACATCCTTTATCAGTTGCTGATGTGGCTTAAACCCAGTCTATTTGTCAGTTATTAGGGTAATGTGACGTCATGACCCCAACCCAGTTCCAACTCCTCTTTGCATATCTTTTCCAATCTTTCCAATACAGAACTAGGCCACTGCCACTGTTTAATGAGCAGCCTAAGTTTCCATCTAAGAGCCACAATTTACCTCTCTCCTTTCCTGGCAGGTTCCAATTACCCATTCTGCTATTACTCCATATCTGGTCCTGATTTCTGAGGGACTGAAGGAACAAGGTAAGGCCTGCAGACCGTACAGAGAAAAGATCCTAAGAAATAATTGGCTAACTGCACGTTACAAGTGAAGACTTAAACTTCTGTTGTGCAAGAAACCATAAGTTATTCCCTACATCAAAAAAAACCCTCAATTCCCGTTCAAACCAGAGAATGGACAGTCACCACTTGCTCACCTGAAATATTTGTTTCAAGGAGAAAAGTGCCCGTCTCAGCTCCCGTCCATTGGAATTGTAAAGTTTTTCTAGGGGAAAAAAAAAGACAACAGAAAGAAGTTAAGCATAAACAAAACTGTCAACATGGCAAAAAAGTAGGCGAGATTTCAAAAGAGTTGAAGAGTCATAGTGCCCACTTCCCATCAGACTGCTGTTACAGAAAGCAGCTTTATTTTATTATATATACAGGACTTATTCATCAAAAAAGTGCACGTAAAACCAGGGTTCAGTTGTCCATAACTTCAGATGGCATCTCTCAGGTAAATTCACAATAGCTTTAACAAGGTCAGTAAGAAACAATATTCTAAGGAATTTCTGTAAATGCCTACTCTTTCTACATTAAGATAAATTTAGGGTTTATGAAAGTACCGGATAAATCTCAAAAGACTCAACTGAGAGCACACTTTGCTTTTGTTATCAAAGCTAGAGCCACTGAATCCATCCTTGACTGCCTTCCCTCTAGACATTCTTTTCTCATGCTCTCATCTTTCTATTGTTAAATCCTTTCTGCAATGGCAATGAACATTAATACCAGAAATAGTCGGACAGTCTGTTCTAAGCATAATTCAAAACAGTGTTTTATTCTCATGAAAACTGATCTTGATCTTTTTCTAAGTAGAGCAGAAGCCTTCTTTTCATCATCCAATACTGATATAGATTACTTCATTTATTCCCTTACTAATGCATACTCACAGAAATAATTTAAAGTAGATGAAAGCATCTCCTCTGCTTTCTGAACCCTGCCACAACATTTGTGCCTTTGCAAGAAGTCTTGGACTGTACATTTCAAGTTTATTATATTTGGAAGTGATTTGCAACTATGCATGGATGGAGCAGAAGGTATGCTTTAAGTCCTCCTGCTCTATTATGTTTTGCATATCTGATAAAGAGAGACTATATGCAACACTTCTACAGTCCTAAATTCAATTTTATTACACTAATGTACTCTGAGGACAATTACAAAGAAAAATCAAATCTTTATGGTCACCATGACATACTTTGCCTCACACACAGATCATCATGAAAGGACCATCTCTCCAGTGACCAGTAGGTCACGCAATAAAAGCTGGAGTGCCCACAGAGTGGGAATATTCTTATGAGAAAATGAAATACCAACCCCAAAGTTTTATTTCTTACTTTCCCTTGTTTATTTCTCTTTTAATTGCTACCTTACACTACAAAATCAAATTAAATTTCATTTTATTTTATTTCCCTCTCTCAGAAAGTTACAAAAAAAGGCCTGTCATTTCAGGATTCAATGCATTTGTAAGTCAGGAACAAGTTTTTTACTTCAATAAAAGAAAATAATTTTAATTTTAGAAAAACGTTTACTGCAAAAGTCACCTTCAACCAAAGCAAAAATGTGAGGTAAAACTTACACTTTTTTTTTTTAATTTTGAAAGTAGTTTTGTTCATCCCTAATTGCCTCCAATTTCAAAGGCAGAACGTGTAGGATTGGCAAAACTATTGTTGTTATAAGTTGTGTCCTTCCTTGCACTGTTTATAGATTCCTGACAAAACATTGGAGGAATGGATCTCACTTCAAGCCATAAACTTAGAGGCATACTTTAATTACTCTCACTTAAAAACTCACTGGCATGTGAAACTACATTTCTTGGCAGGATAAAGAACAATTTTGTCAGGAAAGCTTAAAGAATAATAAAGGTCTTTTAAGAGCCGGTCTGTCAACTTTACATGCCATATTACATGGAATATTCCTCTTTGAAAGATACCTCCATCTGGCATTTGTTATTACTAATTTTCCTCTATTCATAATTCTCCAGCATCATTATGAGCAGAATGTCTCGAAACAAGGCAGTACATTATCATCTTAATTAAGAGAGGCACCACTTCTTAAAGTTCTGGCAACTTTGTACATAAATATCAATGTCTTAACAAATGCCGTCTGTTGGTTTTGGTCTTAAACAGGAACAATCAGCATCCCAGCCCTGGGTAAACTCCTAATGAACCATTGTTATGATACCATAACAATGGTTGCTTTCATTGGTGCATGAAGATTTTTGGTATGCCTCAGAGGAACAATGCTGAACATTTTTCTTCTTGACCATTTCACAGAGCATAACATTGTCCTTGGCAATCAGCACAAGCAATGCTCTCCTGCTCACATGTAGCAAAGAGGACACAAGTTATCATTACAGCTGAAGAATCAGTAACTACTGGAAGCATCAAGTTTGATAATAGCAGTGGCAACAAGACAGCACGTATTGCAAACGTCTGAGTTGCCCTCACACCTCTTTTGAGGAGGAATAGTAACAGAATCATAGAATAGCTTGAGTCAGAAGGGACATTTAAAGGTCATCTAGTCCAACCTCCCTGCAATAAGCAGAGACATCTTCAAGTAAATCAGGTTGCTCAGAGCCCTGTTCAACCTGACTTTAAGAGTTGAGAGGTCTTCTCACTTCTGACATTTGCTACCAGGGCGCAGCAATCTACACAGAAACAATATACATTTGCACACCCAAGTTTAAGCTAATGTACTGCATGGGTCGCCATATGCCAGGCTATACTTTTACTGCATTTCTGTGTTCTGTTTTTCAGAAAACAATAAACACATACACACAATTAGACACACACACGATTTTTTGCAATAAAGTCTTTTAAACTGAGTCTTTTAGACTGAGAAATGGCCTTCCATGCTAAAGCACAGAAGTGACTGTAACTCACATGATGCATCTCTGGCAGACTTGTGTTTAAACGAAGCAAATGATGCCTATGGCTTTGAAACAGGAGTCCAGCTTGCTACCATCATTACAAAAATCTCTGAGGTGCTCCTAGGAAAGCTCGAAAGACCTACTTTCTCAATGCGGTGTTATAACATGTTGTAGATATGCTTGAATACGTACACCAGGACTGTCTTATGCCAGAAACTGAACTTATGACCTTCAAGCAAGAAGATTCACTGCTATACTCCTCCCTGAAACTTCACAAGTCTCTGGCCCTTTGGTAAAACACATTCCCAGGTCAGGTACAGGTTAGAGACATACTACACTCACACACTTTGAGATTAGGGAAGATAAAACAGTTCAGGGAGTTTGAGATATCTGAATGTATTTAGCTATTAATGGCTGAATTTCTCACAGTCATGTCCTGATAGGCTATGCTATTTCAGTTCTTTTTTACTATGCTTCTTCAAGAAATAAAGAGCTGCATCTGTGGCTGTGAAACAGGTTTAATTCCAGGTACCTAGATGATAGAAAATTCTCCTGGTGGTTCCCTCTGATGTTAAGTAACACTAGAGGGCACTGCTTATTTCTTTATTTTATGAGAGAAAAGTCACTGTGCATCCCTGGGCTTCCCTCTGATCAAGAAATACTGCTTGGGATGCCAAGTGGGCACTTCATTAGCCTTGAAAACCTGCTTTTTAATCAGTAGATTGTAGGACATCCTGAGAAATCAAAAAGCATCAGCACTGACAATCTCACACCTTCAAAATCAGTCAAGTCTTTCAAAACTATCCAACAGAAAACCAGCTGCTGGCATGGGTTTGAGTTTTATCTTTGTGTAAGAAGCAAGAGTCACATTTGTTAAATTACACTTTGCAGCATAACGGGTAGCTGTATATCTCTGAAAGACAAAGAAGTTCCCTTAGTTCACCAATCCCTTCTACAGGCAGAGCATCAAAGATAACCGGGCTTGTGATACAGACACATGTGAGAGGTACCAACCTACAAGTGCCTGTTCTCTTGCAATGGCAGGACTTTGGTTGAGAGAACGCTTCACACCCTAAAAGAAAGCTTTTATTTATTACTCCAGGGTATTGTCTGCTTTTACGTTTGTAAAAAATCAACTCTCCTACAGAGGAAAGGAGAACAACTCACGCTAGCTGTAAAGGGATTTCTCTAGGTGAATTTGGCACAAATGGGACAGTGGAGAGAGGGCAGTTAGGTGTACAATAGGCACCTTCTCAGAAAGTAAAAGAAGCCTTTAAATATCTTCATTTAACTGGACCACTGGTAGCTTTCAAAGAGAATCCTGTATTTTCAAAGATGACTGTCAGAGGCTCAGATTTCATTGAGTATTCAACTCTTTTGACTGCATGGGAAAAGGGCCTTAAAGAAAATAATTATTGGTCTTTATATCCTTATTGAAAGTATCAACTTTTCATTTGCTTTCTATGGCAAAATAAGAGTTTTCAATCTGCAATAATAAAAGAAAAATAGAACTGGCTGAATATTCCTTAGTTCAGTCCCATGTGTTACACCTGACCTCTGACCGACAGGGTACCATCCTCCTCCCTTCCTCTTCCATCACACCCATTGAATTAGTCCCTGGGATATAGTAATTTATGTAGCATCAGCCTTTTGAGCTATTGGCAAAGGCCCATGAACATCTGGCTGAGCACAAATGGGAGTTGCTCTGCTTCACTTGCTGCTGCCTGAATGACCTCCACGTCTCCCATCCATGCATCTTTTCTTAAAACTATAATTTCAAGATGAAGCTCCTTTCCTTACAAAAACATAAAAGGGAGATTAATTCCACATTTGATTACATTAGCAGGGTACCTGGTGCAGATCTAATTAAATGACATTTTAAACATTTCCTGCCATTCACTTCTTAAATCCTTGCATGGGTCAGAAGTAGCAATATTCTCTGGCTTCCACTAGCCACATGCAAAGGGGCTAGTACTTAGAAACTAAAAACTTAACTCTTGCCTCTGCAACAATGAATAAATTATTTTAAGTGCTCTCTAGGAAGAAGTATTAGTGATAGAAATAATAGTAATTGTCTTTTAGAATTTAAATTAACTACCTAGGCTTCCACCAGCACAGAGGGGAGAGGGAAGGGAAAATAAAGAACAAACAAAAATGCTTTTAACTATAAAAAAACCCTCTTTCTGCAAATGCCAAGTACCACACTTCCAGATTTATCACTGCACCATTCCAATTTTAAATGGGTATTATTCTATCTGAATGAATTTACAGAATTGTAAAAGTGGGTCAAAATTTGAGCAGCACAGCAAGAAGTCAGACACGCAGGTCCAGTCCTGTGAATGGGCTTCCGGAAGCAG